ACAGATCATCAGTATGGAAACAAAGACTAATTCTTGAAGTTTGGCATTCCGTGCGAGACAGGAACACTATGAACACTACTATGTGATGTTCTTTTCTTTCAAACAGGCTGACAACAGGGTTGTCAGCCATGTCATTGGCTGTTATCTCTCAGTTGTGGTTGCCTTGTAGTGTTTTCGTCAGTTTTTAAAATATTTAATGAAGGAAGGAATCCGGTCTTAAGTGTTATCGCTTTATATTCAGGAAAAAGCATTGCCATTCAACGGACTTTAATTTAAGGCTATACTCAAGAACACAGACCGTGGCCTCGCAGCCATTCGAATTATTTCCAGCGTGAAGTTTCAGTTTTTTTTTATTGTTCAAAAACCCCGGAATGGTTTGCATTTGCAAAATCGGCCGTTACGTTGGTTGATTATCTGTCCTGGTCCACAGCTGTTCGCAGTGATTCGTTTCATATTAGTCGGAAGTTCTGTGTTATAATATAACGGTCTGTCTGTGATACAAATGCCAGCAAAGAATTGTCATTTATGCTTTCTTTTTTCCAAATTGTGATGCCATTATTGTCTACAATTTGCATTTGTATTTAGGATTTACATTGCTTGATCAGACTCCAGGTAATACTGGTTATTCTTTCAGAATGTAAACAGATGTAAACCGGCACAGCATCACTTTCAAGAATATTCAACTCAGTAACGGTAATTCTAATAACCAAAGCGAAATATGAATGTTGTTATAGCGAACTCTTACCTTTTTCATCTAATACATTAAATATTTATATATACCCGTTCTCTATATATTTGAATTCAATCGATATTTTCGTTTACCCCTGAGTGATATGAAGTGCCCCTGTCACCTTCTTTGTTATCCCAAAAGGCAGAAAAAATAACTGGGAGCTTAAAATGGCGCTGGTCTCTAAGTTCTTTAAGAACCTTTTCTTTTCTTACTAGAACTAGTGCTGGTGACCAGCTTGTAACGTCGCGTGACATTCTTTTTAAAATTATGTAACCCAGAAGTCTTTGCTGCGGTGTTTGTCACTCACGCTCCACCACAATCAGGCAAATTCACAGCGGCGAGATGCTCACGTTTACTGCGACAAAAGACAGCTCCCCTAGTTTGTAGAACACGAGCGAGTGTGATCAAGAGGTAAGTAGATCTTTAGTTAGCCAGCCTAGAGCCTTCTCACCCTTCCATGGAATAAATAACTTTGTCGGTAAATCACTTTTTAATCGAATGTTGCTTCCACCATTTTACAGGTAGCGATCTTTACATGGTCTTTATGCATGATTTGAGTCTCCGAATGTTTATTTGCCGACGATTTTGTTTTGTCCTTTAAGGCACTCTTATTCTCTGCTTGCTTACTTTTTGTGTGTAAGTGAGGATAGGAAGCTTTAATTTATTGTCTGCTGTTATCCGGTGATTGGTGATGTAGATTCGTTGCTTTGCAAACGAAGTTTGACTGTATTGTGAATCTTGATCGAATTTAACACCTACAGCAACTTTTTTTTGTTAAGTGAATGACTTAACAGTTCAAATCAGAATTCAAGTAGTTAAACATGTCGAGGGTTCTCTCCGAACAACCACACAACTCTGCATGTACTGTAATGCCACCTCGAAGGTTCAAAACACGAAAACAAAAGCGAAATTGTTCGGCCCAGTGCGTGTAAAATAGCTCAGAATTATTCACTAACTACTGAGTTTACAAAGTTTGAAACTTTTTATATGTTGATAGATCCAAATCATTTATGGCAAGGTTGCATGAAAAAACCAACAGGATAACTGATACTTCGAACTCTCATGAACTATGGCTTTAACAGCGATTCGGGTTCTAAAAGGATTTATATTATGATGCAATTAACATTGACGCTTAGCGTATTTGTTGACTTTTTTTATAGTCTTATTAGAAGGTTTCTCATGTTGAATTGTCAAGCTTATTTTAATTTTACTTTTGTCTGTTCCCTTATCTCGCACCTCTCAGCAGATTTGATATCATTTATAATTTAATTTGTTCTTGCTTTGCTTTCATATATAAAGCAAAGTTTTGACGGCCGGAAGACAACCTCGATCATCCATGACCTTGGCGACATGTACTTCGCTAGCGTGACATGATGAAATGTTCGCTCGATGTGGAAAATGTTAGTCTTGGAACATGTTGCCGACTCATTAGCTGTGGAATCAAGGTTTCAGAGCTAACAAAACAACAACAACAACAAGTAAGTGTAAAATATCTTTTGGACAGGTATGCAGTCTTCGAGAAGTTATTTTGATAAGGGAAACTGAAACTGTAGAAAAACAGTTTAAACAGCATTTCGTACAAACTTGATAATTTCTAGTTAAGCGTTTTTATTTTCAACGCACGCACTTTAAAGTAACTCTCCACTTTAGAAAATTCCAATTGATCTGCGTCAGGGACGTCCAGCGGACAGCTAAACTTCCGGGTTTCACTCGACTCCCCACTTCCAGATTAAAATAACGTTTGTAATATAAATTATTAACATTATAAACCTTTGTTCAAAATTAAAAGTTAAAGGTGATTTCTAGTCCGCACTGCGCGTTTACGTTTTTTGTTTTGATTCATGGACGGCGTCGCAAAATGTAACATTTCGCAAATAGTTGCATGATGTCAACCGTGGATTTCTACAGCTTGCAGACTTCCACAGCAGACTGCCGAGTTTGTCAATTCGATTGACGGGATGTACCAGTCACCGGAAATGACGACGTTTGATGTGTCAGGTTTAGATAATAGTTATTGCCGACAACCTTGACGATTCCCCCGAACCAGAGACGGCACCCATTTTAGATATCGTTGACCGCGACACCGATGACACTGCACTTAGCCAAAGCCCTAGGGTCTTCTGTATTCAGACTCGGAAGTCACCCTATTTAGGCATGTTTTACACTCACAACCCGGTACTGATAACAATTGATAGCGGCGCCACTGGTAACATGATCCACCATACAGCCAGTCACCCATACAGATGGTTCACCAAGCAGATGGCTCATGCCCCCGTTCACGCCGTTGGTGAGGTACGCTTTTCATTCTCCCACAAAGGCCGCGAGCTCATCTTCGTAGAACGACAGGCCTTGATGCTCCGCTCACCCCCTATAAGTCTATAACCGTCCGACACGGAGAATTATAAAGTTGCAACTATCCAGTGATGCCCTTCCTGACAGTAAATACGCCTTAGAACCTCGCACTAGTGCTTCAAGTGTTATACACTTAAACACCCTCTCATCTGTGGCCATCTGTGGCCATCTGTGGCCTTCTCCAAGCGTAATCTCTATCGTGGCGGGAAAAATTCGCATTCCTAATCTCTCATCACAGCCACACTTTCTTAGGTGGAATGAACACTGTTTTCACAGCTGATGAACCTTGTAATGACAACCTGTAACCACCACCAGGGCCTTAACCGAAGCTGCTCTTGCCGATGTTGGGCGCTACAGTAAGCCCCACTCCTCTCTTATGGCTGATGTTGATATTGCTCAGTGGAAGCAAACTATTGCCACAGATTTAAACAGCGCATCTTACCGAATCCCACTGTCGCGTTCCTCAATAAAATATTGCAGTGTCGCCACACCATTTCGGTAAGTGCATGTATATGCTAGGTCCGCCATGGGTTTGCAGGGTTCCGAAATGGCCCTAGCAGAACTGATGCGTCCCGTGCTTGGTCACCTGTTTGAAGAGGGCGTGGTCACAAAAAATGCTGATGACCTATACAGTGGAGGGAACAACAGACACGATCTCCTCCAGAACCCGTAGAAAGTCTTACTAGCCCTCTATAAGTGTGATCTCCGCCTCTCTGCTTCGAAGACCGTTTTCAATCTCCAGACTACAACAGTTTTAGGCTGGATTTAGAACTCTAGTACCGTAGTGATTCGATTTAGCGCCCTCATTCCAGTAAGCGCCCCCTTTCGAATAAGCGCCCCTCTTCGAATGTGTGTTTATTAATTAGCGCTCCCATTCGAATAAGCGCCTCCATTCTAAAAGGGACGCCCCTATCCTAATATTATAATATTAAAAGGTCGTCAGAGTACCTATCAATGGAAGTTCATACCGTAATAAAAGTTTTGTTTTGAACATTCGGTTTTCTCAAAAAAGAAACAAGCGCCCAGTCCCGAATAAGCACCCTCCATTTAGGTACCAAAAGTAGATATATGCACCCTGGGCATTAAATCGAACCATTACGGTACTTTACATGCAAGCTCACATCGCATTGCTGCCCCTACCTCTTGTCCTGAGGTGCTCGCCCTCGTCATTCTTGGTTGTTTTGCACTTCTTTTCCCCCTCGATGACGCTATCGGTGGCCGCGAATCCAACGAATCTATCTAGTGCACGGACAACCTCCATACTGCATTCCTTAATGCCTAATAAACCCTTGCTACTGCTCGCAACATCACACTGTACGCCCAGACGACGGCGCCTTTCGTAAACGTGGTATAGGGGGCCACACTGTATGTCACCCTCGACGGCAAGCTACGCGTAGCAGGGTTCTTTAATTAAATTGCGAGGCTCACGGGCAACATGGCTACTCTGCGAAATGGAGGCCCTAGCCCATTGCAGCAACTAAACAAACATCAATCTTCGACAGTAAGGCCTGCGTGCAGGCATACGAGAGGCTCTGCCGTGGAGAGTTTTCAGCAAGTCCTCGTGTAGCTACCTTCCTCCACCATAAGTCGATATCAGGAGTCAGTCAGGCGTGTTTGCAGATAAGCAATCATGCTATCCAATTTCCCCAGCCGCAACGCAGCTCCTAGCGAAGGCGAAGCCTGCCAGATCTGCTCGTTCACAAAGAGTACCCAGGTACTCTGCCCTCAGATACAAGTGTGTGCAACGCTCCCCTTTCCCCAGCCGTACCGTCTGGTTGACAATTCAAGGAGATTGTGCTGACCTACGGCATA